TATTTTTCAATCTAGCCCTTCAAAATTTCATAGTTCAAATATTAATTTGAGAAGAAAAAAGTTATAATAAATAATGAATTATTGTAGTCATTTTTATTTTTTAAAAAATATCCTCATATATCATTAATAATTTATATAGATTTTTTATTGTTATTTTTTATATTTTTTTTTTACAAAAAGAATGAGAATAAAAGTCTCAGCATACAAAGCAACTCTCTTATATGCGTGCGTAAAGGGAAAGCTAACAAGAGGCCAGTCAAATGAATGACGGAATGAATGAATTTTGTAGCAAATATAAGATTTAGTTACATATTGAATTTAATTTTAAATATAAGATCTTAATTCACATGCTTTTAAAATATATAATGTTCAATACACATGACTAAATAGTGTAGTTTTAAAAAAACCAGCACATATTTATTATATTTAACTAATTTAATTTTTTTAATTTCTTCAAATTAGTTACACAACACTTATATTAAAAATTTGAGGTGCTATGCGCTTTACCTGATACGATGCCGTTATTATTATGTTTGCTCCGGCGTCGAGGTAATCTAGGTGGACCTGTTTCACAACAACGTAATTGTTTGATTACTTAATTAACTAATTTGTAATAATCAATTTGTAATCACGCAGCATATAAAAAAAAATCATCAACGCGCTTATATTAATAGTTTTATCTACTAGATATGGAAAACGTCTTGTAAATACTGTGATTATTATTATATATTTAGCTACCATGATGATATGTGTTAGTATAAAAGAGAAAAGGAGACGCACACACATGTATGTATACTAACTAATCTTTAATGTAGAAATTAGTTGATTAATTTAAGTAGATCAAAGAAATTAATTAAATTAGTTGTTTATACTACCTCCGGTTTAATTATAAGAGCCAGTTGACTAATTTGAGGAGATTAAGGAAGGAAGTTGAGTTAATTATTTGTCATAAATAGATGTTTTTTTTCCTAAAATATCCTTACTAATCAAGTGTATTAACTAGAACTATAATTATTAGAAGGATTATCTTGAAAAAAATTGAGTAAATATGAGAGACAAAGTGGATTGGGGTCTTATATTTAAGATCAAAATAAAAGTCAAACAGGGTCTTATATTAAGGACCGGAGGTAGTAATAAATGTGTTGTCTATCCTAAAATACCTTTCCTAATCAAGTGTCATTGATGAAATATTTAACATGTGCAACTATTACAATGGCTAACTTGAAAAAATAGATAAATATGAGAGATAAAGTGGATTGAGGTCTTATATTTATGACCAAATTAAAAGTCAAACAAGCTCTTATATTAAGGATCAGAGGTGTTTGGATAGAAACCAAACCATGATTTTAAAAGTAATTTTACGGTATACAAACTAAATATATAAAAAATTTATCCCGATTCATGAAAAATGAGAAACATTTTCGGCAGGAATCCAAACACCACCTTGGTTTATAATAGAAACCGTGTCACACAAAGGAGTACCTTTCTGAGGAGATGATGGGAGGTAGAGTTAGTGAGGAGGCATTTGGCGCTCCACAGTGGATCTTTGAGATCAGCGCCGTGCCGTTCAAGCTCCGTCGCCAACCCGCCGTCTATCACGGCATACCCTCCACACTTCTCCAGCCATTCCCTCATAAACGATGCCGTTCCCTTCCCCATTTGTTTCCTGATATCTTCCTGCGCCTACGTACAAAGTCGCCGCCACCTGATCTCCCTGTTTATAGAACAGAAGAGATGAAGGTCATCTACGTATTTACCACTCTACCCCTAACGTGAACCCACCTGATTTGATCCAATTCCCTAAATAGTTTAATTTAAAGTTTGCTTTTATCATGTGATTATATCTTTTATTGGGAAACTTCCTATTATCAGCGATTGAGGTCTAGAGCAGGGCAAGCACTGAACTGTATTTGTGAGGATAATATTCGCAATTTGTTATATGTATAAGTTTTATATGGACACACACACGCACGATACTCTTATACAACGAGCTTTCCCTAGCTTGTGGAATCAAAACAAGTAAGATGGGTGACAGATATATATATATATATATATATATGTATATAGGATTAGGATATCTTTTCCCCCCACTAGAACATGAATTTATTCCCTAATTTCATTTTATTTTAGCATATTAATAACTTCATTTGTGTATAGTTGTTTGGGAAGATCTCAAAAAAAAAAAAAAAAAAAGGAAAGAAAGATGTCATTGAAATTTCAAGACAACTTTCAGATGCACACCGGTTGCCACTTTAAGAGGAGGTCAGCGAAATTCCCACTCTGCCCTAATTAAGTTACAACAAACATCCTCCTTATTATATTACTCCTCCTATCCTTAATATAAGACCTATTTAACTAATTTGATTAGATTAAGGAAGTTAGGTAAGTTAATTAATTATCAGAAAAGTGACATATTTTTCCTAAAAACCCATAATCATCTTTCTTAATACTCCTCATCTCCCTCTTCTACTTGATTATGTTGAGAAAGTATTCATAAGGGTAATTTAGAGAAAATTAATAAATATAAGAAATGGGTCTTATATTTAGGACTAAAACCAACTCAAAAATTGAGTTCTATATTAAGGACTGAAGGAGTATTATTTAATGAAGATATTATCTCGGTGTTGCTTTGCGTCTCAAGCGAATGAACAGATGAATACTAGGAAAGCTAGGAAGCATTGAGCTGGATTGAGAGGATAAGATTGGTAATGACGTGTTAAATGTAAGATATGGATGGAGGCAGCAGCAGGACTCTCACAAAAGAAGCTTCTGGCTTGGGAATCAGAAACAAAGTAAGATGGGTGACAGGTAGGATTAGGATATTTATATGTGGAATATGAAGACGAGCATATTTATATACTGTCCCTGGTCCTATTTATAAAATTCTGTTTGTAATTTTTAAATGAGATCTTATAAATATGATGAAAGGCAGTATATGTGTAGATGAAACGTAAAATACTTTAAAAAGAGGCCAAGCATTTGGAGAACAAGGTGTCTGTATTGTTGTGTTTACAATGTGGGCGTGTCAAAGAAGAAAATTCATCATTGAAAAAAATTACCCCGTTATATGTTGGTGTGTGTTATTTCTTTCAATTTTAAATATAAAAACTAATTAGAAATTTAATTTAATATTAAATATAATATTTTAATTTATTTAGTCTATCGTATTTATTTATTTATCTCAAAATAGTCCCTAAAATAATTACACATATTAAAGGATTTTTATTCTGATGTACAAGATTAACATATTAATGCCTGTAATCCTGCAGATGATATGTACGACCATATTGAAAGCAATATACGGTTTCTGTTTTGAATTTTTGAGAGAAAAACACGGCAGCCATCCTATGGATAACCTTAGTCTCAACGAAAATTAAGGCTTTCGCAAATTCCCATCATGTCCGCCGTCATGTCCACGATAATTGTGCTAATTATCATATGATATTGCCTCCAATCATTAATATAAAATCTTATTTGATTTTTATTTGGATTCTAAATATAAGACTATAATATATTTTATCTCTTATATTTATCTATTTTTTTTCAAGTTGATTATTCTAATAATAATAGTTCTGATTAATAAACTTAATTAGTAAGGATATTTTAGAAAAGACAATATATATTTTCTATAAATAACCAACTTAAGTCACTTTTTTAATATACTCAAATTAGTCAACTAACTTTTATATTTAAAATCTGAAATAGTATAACCCAATTATCCTTATGAACAAACACTAATTGCTACGTTTCTAAGCATTTCGGCGCCGTGCTTCAATATCTGGCTTCTCAGGTCAAACCCATTTTCCATCCGTCATCCCACAACTAACAACACATATGGATAGATATTTAGACCCTACATCACTGGCAACTCGGTTTGGTTTATGTTCCTTTAAACAATGATTTTTGTTTTTAAAAACTCTTTTTGCATGCCCAAAAAAATACCCACTATTTTCTTTTCAAGAAAGTTACTACCTCTGATAGCTAATATAATAACTAGTTGATTAAGCTAAGTAGATTAAGAAAATTAGTTAAGTTAGTTATTTATAATAAATTGATGTTATCTTTTCTAAAATATCTTTAATAATCATTAATAATCATGTGTATTAGCTATGAAACATTTAACATGTGCAACTACTACAAAAATCATTTTAGAAAAAAATGGATAAATATAAAAAATGAAGTAGATTGATATCTTATATTTAGGATCAAATTAAATTTTTAACTAACTCTTATATTAAGGATGGAAGTAGTATATTTGAAAACAATAGAGATATTGTGTGCTGATGCATGCGTGCATATCTATATGTATTGATATATACAGGACTTATGTCAAAAATTATATTACTTCTATTCCTAACTTCTTTTCACTTTTAGTATGGCAAGTAACTCTACTTGTGTATAGCTGCTTGTTATCTAATATTTTAATTCAAATCATTTTATTTTATTTTTTTAAAATAAAATTTACTATGAAACAAATCTAAAGTATAATCATTCGATCAATCTTTCCTTGAAAAAGGGCAGATAGAGTTGCAAGGACAAAAATCAAATTTTTTTTTTGGTACACACATTTAACAGACTTGACAGAAAGGAATGAAGATTGAATGAAGACAACAAAATTCTGACATTCATTTTCCAAAGTAACAATAAAATTATTTTTTAATATGCATGTTCTTTACGTTCGAAGAAAAAAAATACAAAAAAATTATTGTATGTGAAATTTACATTCCATCTTTATATTCATCTCTCTTTTTGTCTCCCTCTAAATACATTATATACATTTACTTAATGTAGAGATCGGATCAAGGTAAAAACAAACACATGAAGAAAAGTGAAATCAGGTTAACAACTCGAAAGGTAAAATATAAATATGCTTTTGCTGGCTGACGCTTTCAAGTGAGAACAAAAACAAGCGACCAAATGAAATGAAATTCTGGAGATCAATTCCAGGAATTCGCGCAAAAGACTATATTTTCAGCATCGGACTGCATGGTCCAAGGAATGGTTCGGTCCCAAAAAAATAAAAAAATAAATCTATACATGAAGGCTAAAAATTGGCAGCCATAACTAGTCTTAGAAAGAAAAGTATATAATGCAGGAGGAATTTAGGCACCAATCCGAATCAAAATCAAATGAAATCGAGCAAAAAAAAAAAAAACCAAGTTAATTGTGGGGGAAAAAAAGTCAGTCAGGGACCCCGAACTGGTGCAAAACAGAAGCAGTTAGGAGTATGATCTTCAGGTATCATGCCTCCTCCTTTGCTGGTATCAACTGCTTCGAGCATTCTCACCACCTCTTCCATCTCTGGGCGCTTGTTTGGATTCCCATCCCAGCACTTCCTCATTATACTTGCAAATGTGCTTGGACAACATCTTGGAATCTCTGGCCTCAGATTCTGTCACAGCAACCCCACAACTTATAATGTTCAGTATCCTCAAAACAGCTTATAATGTTTTGACCCGTTTAAGGTTATTGCAGAGTTCGGATCCTACGAAGTATTCAGTAAGTGGGGCCCTCCTCCTTCAAGAGATCCCAATTCCTTATAGCTAGTATTTTTATCACTATGTCCTTCACCATTAAAAGGCTCACATAAATCATAATATGTCATGCATTTCCATGAAGATGTTGAATCCGTAAAAGTTATATTTTACGTTTTCAAATGTTGAGAGCAGTTCAATTTTTCAAATTAAAAGAAGCTTGAAGTTACAAGCAGAATCAAATCCGTAACCTCTCATTTGCAGGGAAGCATTCATACTGCTAGGCTAGGATACAAGGCCACGAGCAATCCAATATTCATAAGGAGTAATGAAATTTGAGTCCCACAGGGGATTATTATCGTCTTGGCCTCTAGTTCAAAAACAAGGTTGTTAATATAGTATATCACACATTTGTCAATTTCAGAGGGATTATACGTTCAAGAGACCAAAGTGTCAATAATTCCCTTTTAAAGACTCAAATGTCATTCTTCCTAAATGCTAAAGAAATTATACGGGTGGTAATAGCTCTCAGAGTTCAATATAAAACATATTTATACAAACATATCACTATTTGACTAGATGTTGGAATCAGACCAACCAAGGACTTGACAAGGGCAATTGTACTGGTAAGACGCAAGGCCAAAAAAAAAAAATGTGGCAGTGCTGCAATTGTAGAAATGAACTGACCTGACGAACAACTGCGGCTGAAACATCAGCAAAGCTAAGATCTGGATAGGGCATATCACAGCAGTAAATCTCCCATAAGCAAATGCCAAAGCTGTAGACATCACATCTATGGTTGTAGGGCTTGCCCTCGAGAACCTACTCAGCATAACACCAAGATTGAAGACCGATTACTGATGGCTTTCAAACTACGAATCAGATTGTAAGCATGCAAATAAACCCAGTGAAAAGAATGTTCACAAGAATGAAGACAATGAACTTGGGACAGTAACCTTGTTATAAAATCATAAGCTGGCAACGTAAGAAGTTGTTCCAATAAAAAATAATAATAATAATAATAATAATACCTCAGGTGCCATGTAACCAAGGGTTCCAGTTTCGCCTGTCATATCACTCGGATTCATAGCTTCAACACGAGCGACTCCAAAATCAGCTATTTTCAGACGTGCTTGCCCATCTAGCAACATATTTTCTGTTTTGACGTCACGATGTACAATCTTCTTGGAGTGAAGATAGCTAAGCCTGCAGATGGAGGAAAATTCAATGATAAAATTTTCCAATTTCTTAATCAACAATTGTAGAGGTAACTAAAATGGAACTCACCCTCTAGAGAGGTCCAAAGCCAGCTGGACCACAACCTTAAAAGCAAGTTTCTTCCGCCTATTTCTGATTAAGAATTGTTTTAATGTCCCACCAGGAAGATACTCAACAACAACACAACATGCTCTAGATGGAGGAGTTTCCCCATTAGTTGAAGAACTATTTGCCGGAATCTTAAGATTTGAAGTTCCCATAGATGCACCAATAAACTGTGGCAAATACAGATAAAAGACAATTATAATTTGAAGACTGTGATAAACAAAATTCCTCCTCAAAACCAAACATCTAATTCATTCCTCCAAATTGTAATTATTCCTACAGATTAGACATGCATGTCACCCACGAGAGCCCAATCTCATAAGCTGTGCTACGTGACAAGTAACAATCACTAATTTAAATGCCTGAGCATGAAGACTATGAGTTTGTACTTTGGTGACATTTGGATGGTCAAGTTTGTGCCATACAGCAACCTCCTGCTGAAAGGATGCACGTAAAGCAGCAGTTTCAGCCGCTGTGGCGACACCATCCTCACCCCAGTTCAATACTTTCACTAAAATATTCAACATCACAACAGTGAGAATTTTCAAGTAAAACAAAATATTGAATGTCAATCCAATTAGATTTATGTAAAGTGAACAATAGAAGAGAACAAACCTAACAAAAATAAATTTAAAAATTAACTCCAAGTTCTGGCTAATTCATCTAATTTTGGCAAATAATAAATAATAAAAGTTAACAAAACGCAGATAGAACGGCCATAACCTGTTTAACTTACAACTTAACAAATCCATGATAAAGAACGAAAATCAATATTGTTGACATATTCTGCAGTTTAAAAGCAACACAAACATAACATCGTCTCGAAGAGAAATTGTATCTGACACCCTCAACACCAGATTGGCCTGTGTTTAAACAAATTTGTAGGACCAAATCTAATTACAAAGCATGCAAGCTATTGGTCCTAGAAAACAGAGCAGATATGTAAATACGTGATATGAAGAATTAAGAACAGGCTTGGAGGAAATGCTGCTATCCAAAGAAGTTCATGTGACAATAGTGTCGTGCACTTGTGCATATACTAATTTCCCAGTACCATGTACCAATGTGTCATACACTTGGCCACACACCAACATTAGAGTACCGAAGTATCAAAACTTGTGCACAGGTTGAAATTTGTGCCCTTTGAAATGGAGGCAAGAGAAGTTTGAAATATGATCCATGGTTTACACACAAATGGTTTCTTTTTCCAAAAAAAATAAAATAATAATAATAATTGGCGGCAATGAGAAAATTTAGATAAATAATCTATAAAGAACATGGAATGTCGAATAGAAGAATGATTACAGCAATCAACAAGTACGAGTATTTTTCCACCTCTAGACCCACTAAGAGTGCTAGAATTAGGATATGCAAATGGAATTATATGGAACATTTTAATGCCAGAATCAAGGTGCCAAGCATGTGTTCATTCTCAAATATCTTATCCATCCAATCCTATGTCACTAATGGCAACAATGAAATAGACAAAACAAATCTTCTAGGGTGTAATGACATCCCATAACACATCTTAAATTCGTTTCATCCATTTTGCATGCAATTACAATATCAATGTACGTAAACGGATATAGAGGGCAAATACCTGCAACTTCTTGGTTATCATAGGTACCCCTATAGACAGTACCATAAGCCCCATGAGCAAAAGCATATCGAATATTCAATTTGGCCAAATCAATCTCCCACTCTTCTTTAGGCCTCTCCTGGTCTGATTTCCTTGACCAGACTTTGCTCAAGTGCTTTTCTAACTGAGCATCCAAACTTTTCAGATCAATCTTGTCGGCTCTAAATATCATATCTTTGCTGCTCTGACTTCCAACGCCCTTCATCTTTGAATCCTTAGCTCCTTCTTGTTCTAAATCCATCTTTCCAAATGCCTCAACCTTCTGAATCCATGATGAATAACAAATGGTGAGCCCCAAATTCCAAAACACACTTGGAAAGCACCAAGAAATAAAATCCAATTTTTTACTCCTACAACTTGTTTGACGATGGCAGATACGAGCTAACAAATACTTAATATCTATAAAATTGATGCACGATTCAGAGCCAAAATTTTCACGCAAACATGTATTTCATCAACTATGATCGGTTAAAAAAAAAAAAAAGTAAAAGAAAAATTCAAAAACAATAACTAGAAAAGAAAAGCGAAGCGATCAGGAACTAGACAATGTCACCGCTATAAGTGGGGAAATCATCAAGAAAAGGGAATAATTATCGATGCACAAACCCTCAGAAGACGATCAAAAACGGCTAACAGAATCTAGCCGAAGCAGGCGGGAGCATTACATAAGCACAGAAAACCGGAACAAAAAAGGGAAAATAAACGAAAGAAAGCAATAAATAAATGGTAGAGGAAGAGAGCAGTAGATGAAAGTTTTAGAAGCATCAAATGAATTGAAGAATGGGGTCTGGGGTCGGTACAGGGTACGTACCTTTGAAGATTACAGGGAATTAGAGACAATAGCTTTTCGTAGAAGACAGTGTAGCTATCGCGGAGGACATCACTATCACCATTCTAAGCTCGAACCTGCTAAAATCAGCCAAATATAAACAAGACATTATTCAAACGAAATTAAAATAGCGAACAAACAAGACAAATTCTTAATGAGGCCTCTTTTTTCTTTTCCTGGTTTTCCAGGGAGCGATTTGGTTAACGAAACTGACAAGACAAAAACAAAAATGAAGAGAAGCCGGCCAAAGCAGAAATCAAAAGACCAAGCAGCAACCAACCGAAGTAATAAACCATGTGGCAGAGAAAGAGAAAAGCGCGGGCGTTCCAGGAATATTGTGGAGCAGGAAGGCTCGTGAAGCGGAAAAGGCTAACGAAAGGCAAATTACCGTCCATGAGAAGTTAATGGAATTTATTTTAAAAAATTGAACCAATATAGTTGGCAAAATAATCGATCAATATAATATAAAAAAATTTTAATTTTACTTTGATGACAAAAAACTAAACAAAAATAAATTCAATGCTTCAACCCATATCCTCTTATCTTATTATAGGAATTCTCCCGTGCGTCTAATGTGATTAAAAGGTGTCATCAAATTTATTAATTTTTTTTTACTAGCGACCATCAAATTTATTAATTAATAGTCATATCTTCATATAACATTATTTCCCTACTGGGAAAAATATTTTTTTCTTTGCTTGAATACGTGTCATATACTTGTATAAATATTTTGTTAATTTGTTAATTAAATCGTTTTCATATTTGTAAACAAAATCTAGTCAATTTTTTGTTACTTGTCCTGTGAGAGTATTTGGACCCAAAAAAAAAAGTCTTGTGAGAGTACACTTTGAATTGCTTTATCAAAAAAAAATCACGTTGCCAAAAAATCAATTTTTCAAAAAGACAAAAATCTATAGAAATCAAAGAAAAAATGAGTTATTTTTCATATTTATGCGATAATGTCTAATTTTATTAAAATCTAAAACATATTATTTCTTCCGATTCTAAATATAAGACTTATTTCATAGTATTACAATATAAAATATATTTTATATTTAGAATAGGAGGAGTATACTCTTTTCTTTTCTTTTTTTTTTTGTGCCAAAGAGTATATTCATTGTATTGTAAACAAAAGACCTTGCACCCAATTTTTATTCATTAAATATAGAAAAGTAAAATCATCTTTTCATCAACTATTCTTGGGACGAGAACCACGTTTATGGGGTTTTTTTTACCAAAATATGATAAACAGTAAAACTATATATCAATATATTATACTTTTAAAGGTATTTATCAATATGCTGTACTTAAAATCATTTTTGAAAAGAACGACTTTCAAATTACACACAAATTGTTCTTGATATTAATGATTTTAGAAATTATTTTGGGTATGAATGATTTCACTTTTTGATTTATTTATAAATCAAAAAGTGAAATCATTCATGCAAGAATAATTTCACTTTTTTCTATTCACTCCCCATACGAGAAAATCTCTGTCAATTTTGCATGGAAAAATAAGAATATCTGACAATGCTCCCGTGAGACTACAACATCTATGGCTTTATATATATTACATGTGAATTACTTCATCTGAGACTTATATGGGATTAAAATTTAAAAACCCTAATTTTTTAATTTTTCAAATAGAGCTTGATGAAATTTTCTATCATTTCCTCTTCTTTTTATTTTTCTCGTACCAAAGAGTACGTAACAAAAAAAAGTTATGCTTTGATTGTAAATTTTTAATTGTAACAATTAAATTGTAGGGCTAAATTGTTATTATTATTATTATTTTGGTCACAGGCATAAAAGGCCCATGCCCAATACTTGATTTCTCGTCAAACCGAACAAATGCCACACAACAGGCTTTTTTACCGAAATACTACAAACAATTAAATTATATACCAATATGCTACACTTTTAAAAGTATTTACTAATATGTTACGCTTAAAATCGTTTTTCAGGTGAATAATTTTTAAAGTCATTTATCTGGTGAATGACTTCTTCATAATATGTCCTTGATGTGCGTGAAGTGAATGAAAATCATTCTTCTGGTGAACGACTTTAAAACTTCATATGCTGCTAAACGACTTCTCCCATTCTCTCCTGATTAAAATGATTAGTATAATGATTTATCAATCATTTGAATGACAAAATCATGACTAAATAATGAGAGAAAAATGTTGATAATTACATAATGATGTTAAAACTAATTGTGAAATGAACGTAAGATGTATATTAATTAAAAATAAAAAGTAATAAATACTTTATTGTAAAAAATAATAAATAAAGTTTAAGTTTATAAAGAAAAAATTATCCACCTTACTGATAGTGACTTCCAGTACCACATCTTGACCTTCTTCTCATACGTTGTGGCCGTTGTTGTATGTCAATTTCTTGAGATTCAAGTATCTCATTTGTTTGTGTAGTTGGTGTATTCAAATTAAACCAAAGTGATTCATTTAAATATATAAATTATCGATGAGTGACAAATGCTTCATTTGATGGTCCACCATGTTCAAAAGTATAAGCACTGTATTTAGATGAAAATAATGCAGGATTATCTAATAAAGTCATGAATACTTGAAATTGAGAAGGATTGGCTAAGTTGGAAGGGGATGATGATGAGGGTACCATGTAATGAGACTCAAGTTGTGTAGGATCGACAGAGGTAAAAGGGGATGATGGTGACGGTGATATGTCACAAGCCTGAGTAAAAATTAGAGGTTCCTATTCTTTTGCATTTTCGTTTTCAATTATAGGTTGGGTAGACAAGTAACCACCGCATCATTTGCTCGGTCTATCACGAGGAATTTGTAGCCGAGGCAACTCAATTGTTAGTGGAGCAGGCTGAGGGTTCTTATTAAAATGTTGTTCTCTAAGGGCAAGTAAAATGTTACATTGATCACGAGCAACCCTGTCTCGATAATCAATACAACTAGGACATGTTGAACGAAAATTAATTGAAAGCCTGTATAGCTCCTATGCTATGTCAGACTAAAATAAATAATAAGATATAAGATAATAACACTTTTTGTGTAAAAGAAAACGATATTAATGGCGGAAAAATAAAAAACTTACTACACGACCTGTATCACCACTGATATGTTAGATCCATCGTCTTGTGTGTCTCCAATACCATTGCATGTACTAAGATGTTTGATTAAATTCATCAAGTGCTATAGGAGCATTAACAATTACATGTGGCCATCTATCCCATGCTTGAATGAAGTCCGAGTATTTATCAATCCAATTTGTAATTGTTCTATCTCGTAATTGGATCGTGTAGTAATTTCCTAAATGAACAGGTATGGAAGGAATTGGTTGCTGATGACCAAATTGACGTAGTACACGGTCAGGATGATATCATTCTATAATATTAAAATATATTAAAGGAACTGAAGCACACCAAATTTTGAGTGTTGCCAATCAATACTCAGGAATCAATTGATGCACACAAGGAGATTCATATGGCTGCCATATTATCTCATCATCGGTCATTTTATCCAGAAAGGTCCTATATCGGATTAAAGACACAGTAAGTGGACAGGGGTTTTGTCTCACATTTTTCCATCTGTTATTACAAAAAAATAATGTTAAAAATTATAGAATTTTAATAATATAAAAGCATAACAAATAGTTAATGAATAAATTTAGCATACCTAAAACCCAAAGGAGGTAAGAGAGGGTAGATATCAGATTGTGGATCTGGATACATAGGTTGTTGTGGTGCTAACATAGGAAAACGATCTCATGCCCATAAATGAAGTAATGATAAGCATCCTCCAATTCCATCCTCAGTTGGGTTAGTAGCATTACATAATTCTCTGTACAAGTGAGCTAAAACTACCGATCCCCAACTATATTTTCCAACTTCTTGAAGATCATAAAGTAGTGGAAGAGAACATGATTATATGATGTTCCCACCATCTATGGGGAGTTCAAATGGTTGGAAAATTTCCATGTGATCACTAAATATAGATTCTTGTTCCATCATGTTCACCTTATTGCTACTTAATGGAGCATATTTTTGACATAATCATCTATGGATTGTGACTCAACATGGCCATTATCTGGTAAATCACATGTGTTAGTATACAACTCTGCACATGTTAATTGAGTTGAAAATCTTTTGGATACTTGCCACATTTGTTTTATGTCTGTATCATCTTCCAAATTGCATACTTGGTATTGTGGTGGATTTATGTGTTGGAAATTGTGCCCTAGGGGCCAATCATTATGTTTTGAACATTGTTAATTTATGAGTTTATTAATTACGTTATCATATTATTTGCATGTTTACTGTGATAACTATCCTTGGATAACTCATGGTTTATCCTAAATGTCCCTGGTCGGTCATCTATGTGGGAGCAAAGATGAAATAAGACCAGTATGACTTTAAAGATATATAGAGATATAAATTAAAGTCATAGGCACATGTAAGAGTACAAGGTGTTGGACCGACCCGCTATGAGAGAGCTGCATGGGTTAAGTCATAAGCTTCTCTCATATACAAACCATGTCACTGTGCCCTTTGACCTGAGATCATCATGGATTCATACATGAGAAACGCTTAGCTTTGACCTAGTCAAAAGTCACTTTTGACCGAGTGATCATAAAGACTGTGTTCAGGCTTAGTGGTTTTTCATGCGGAGGAATGTGAATGGTCAAGATGGAATTTGTCCCTCACATTTGTAGAGAGACATTACTGGGCCCCTCGATGAGTGAGTCTGAGAAATGTATGGCCATACTATAATGGAAAGGTAGTTCCATTTCTATACTCGGACTACTCAGGGATCGAGAAAGTAACGGTCATGAATAGGAGGATGACGTTCTCCGTGCCTCATCCATGACCAAAATGTCGTGTGACAAAAGGGACGTGATATGGTTGTATGAAAGGCTGCATCGTTCAATGATCCTCATATGTTGTGGGTAGTCGTGATGTCTTGCTAGAGACCGCTTACGACTTGTGAGTCATTATAGTTAATGGCACACTGCCAACTTCATATGGGCCTACAGGGTCGCACACAAAATAGCCCAACACGAGTTATGATGTCCAGATTCATTGAATCTAAGATATGTCTAGATTCAATGAATAAATAGGGTGGACGTGTATATATATATATATATAAATTTCGTATATATATATATAAGAGATATTAATTTATAAGGATAAATTAAATATATATAAATTCCGTCATCTCTTTATTAAATAAATAAGTGAATTAAATCTGTGAGACGGATTTAATT